TATTTAGAAGAAAGGGGTGGGAGAAATCAGGACAAGTTGGAAAAGAAATAATCTACATTCTTGTTCCATGACCGGATGTTGCTCACACTTTGGTCCTCACATGTGTGCATTGTTTGGGTCATGTGAGGACCAATGTGGACCATGTGTGAGGACCAAAGTGTAAGCAACATCCGGTCATGGAACTGGAATGTAGATTATTTCTTTTCCAACTTGTCCTGATTTCTCCCACCCCTTTCTTCTAAATAGTTTGATATAAATTTTGTTAATTCCTGCTCCCCCTCCTTCTTACAGTACACAAATCTGCAAACACTCTATTGCTGAGGTTAATCTGAATTGGGGAAAATTCAAAAACATTGTGTTCGGAACAAGATTGCTTGGATATGTTTATATACGGCATCTATCTACCCCTCCTTTCCACACATGAATTCTGCTTACATTTAGTGATCAGATATCACGAGAATGTTTTACAACTAATTAATTCTCAAACTATTACTATTAGGTTTATGCAAAAAGTAACGAAAAGGTGATAGTATAACTTCGGGATTAAATTGAATTCCTAATAACATAAATGGGTAGAGAATGGAGGTGAAACTTTTCTCGAGGCCTCTTGTTGAGGGGTAGACGAGTTTTGCAATGCATAATAATTAACTTGAATCTTGCTTACAATCATGCGCACCGCGGTTCATTTAGAGCGACTTATTCAGTGGTTTGTAATTGTAAATGCGCCTATCGCTGTTCCTCTAATTATACTTCATTTGGAGATGTGGCATATAATACGTTATCGATTTCTGAACATATGTGCCAATGGGTATGCTGTGTTAGCCATGTCTGAGGCAAATGCCACCTAGATTTACTGGTAGGTTCTACTAGAAGATTACTCCAGTATTACATAAATGCACCTTTTAGTTGTTATCTACTTCCAGAAAGGTTCAACCTTGTTGTTCTAAGTTCACTGGAGGATTTTACTTGTATATCGATAGTTTTGATATTTATTTCCATGATTTAGCTTAGTCCCCTAGTCTAACAGTCACATCCTTCATATGTCTGGCATAGTTGATCACACAATTTCCTAAATGTTCACTATATTCACAACTCAGGCCCCGTTTGTCGTTCGCATCACAGGCATTCCAACACGCTATCTATCTGAGTGGTCAAGCTAGCATGAAACATAACAACAGCCGGTCTACCGATGCACGGCAAACAATTTCGACAGCAAGGATGCCGGCATCAACCGTAGATAGTCAACAAGTCGATCACAAGGGGAGCACTAGTTCAATCAATTCGGGTATTCATTTGCAGTCCAGTGTGGTTACAAGGATCCGTCCGGATGGCGACCAATTGGTGCATGTGAACCAGCCTGTTCAGGCGATTGAATCCAAATCTGTACCGTCTAGTGGCCGATTGCTGAACCGAAGACCTCAGGCAAACCCGAAATGTAGTGAAAAGTTCATCCAAGTTAGTTGATCCATTTTGATTGATCCATTGACACTATTCAAATGAGTCACAAAAATACCTGGTAAAAGTGTTAGCCAAATACTCTACATTGTCGGTTTAGGCAGTTTTATGGGAAACGTTCGATTCAAAACACATGTTTGAGCAAGTTTAACTTTAGTTATTCAGATCAAACAAGTAAATGTCATCATAGAAATATTCAAAATGTTGTTATTCGGATAAATTGCTTTATGAACGCAAGTACAACCACGAATGGTGTAATTCATACCGATTTTTTTGCAGCCAGCTGCATACTCTGAATTGCAATCATAGTGTGATGGAAGGTGGTACAAAGAGGGCCCCGGCTAGCGAACGAATCAAGAATGGGGCCCATCCAACCGGACACACAGACGTTGCGGCTGGCAGTACTTCGAGAGACAATACTGACTATCACCCGAAACGAACGAATCGACAATTACGGCCCGACAGACAGTTCACAGCCAGCCAGAAAGATATACACCGAATGCCACCACGTCGGAGCTGTCGATCAACGCACCTCACGCTACGATCGGGTCAAACCAGCCGGAACGGCACGCAGAAAAAGAGGCAACGTACGTGCCAAGTGCGGGCCAAAACCATCAGGTATTGACCAACAGAAAGAGGCATGAATAATCCTGCCACGCGGTTAAGAATTGAATGTATATAATTGAACGCGTACACCAGTTGTTTTTGAATTGGATTAATAAACATTTTCCCAACCAGTTCATCTTCTCGCTACTGTGGTGCAGTCGCTCAAGTCAGCACAACGCAATGAAGGTCCCTTGGCCAAACGCGTTTGCAGACGGAGATGTGGAGAAGTGGATTCGCGATTTTGAATTAGTCGCATTATGCATCAAAGGGGGTGTGCATCTGGTCACCGCGTTGGGTGGGGCTGCTTTCCGGATGAGCGTGGGCCGCTTGAATTTGGAAAGCAACCAAGCCCTGGATTATGAGAATTTGAAAGCCTCGTTGGTGGTCGAGTTTTCAAAGGAGAGTGACCACGAGAAGGCGATGAACCGGTTATACGCTGCGGAGTACAATCGAACTGAGAACCCGCTGGTGCACTACCAACACATAAAGCGACAAATTTCTCTGGGCCTGCCGGAGACAAATAATGAAACACGGGAGAGGCCTACCA